ATCGGAAGATGGTTAGCGGTGACTCTTCGGACTGCTTTTCATTAAATAATTATTTTATTTAAAATAAACTGTTTAGCTGTTTGATTTGTGTGTTTGAAATACAGCTAATTTGTAGGTTTATATTTTATATAAATTTTAAAATCTATGACTTCAATAATCAAATTTAGGAACATCTAAAACTATCCATAATGATATATGAATTTGAACATAAGTTTTAAAACTTCTATTCAAATATTTCGTAAGCTACTCTCAGCTAAATGCTCGCAACATAAATGAAGTGAAGCCGTTTGGAATAAATCATCCAATATTACAGCCAAAATTTCAAATCAAATTGCAAAGTATATACAGAGAGATAAAGACTATGTAATTTCACACTCGAATTTTTTTGGATTATCAAATTCTACAAACACATATACAAAGAGAGAAAGATTATGTACCTGAACTCCGATTCTGAAAGAAATAAATTTATAAGAGATATGAATGACAAACATAAAATAGAAACTGCTACAATTATAGGGTATGAATGACAAACATAACTATACAAATTTGACAGTTAAACTATTGATCATACACTAATTAAAAAATAAGATAAAATAATTATGAAATGAAACTTATTTATTTACGAAATTAGATGCAACTAAACCGATTTATTTTTATTATTCAATTATTTTTATTATTATTTATTTTTTTAAAAGTAAGAAATTGTGAACATTAATTGAGCAAAACATAATTAAAATAATATCTTTATTTTGGTTTAGTTTTAACAAGGAATAAAAATTTTTATTTTTAAATAAAATTTTAGGGGATTTACATGCATAACACCTATCTTTAATAAACAAAAAAATATATATCTTTAAATCCTAAGAATTTCTTACATCTCGTTTCTCCTCTGTTTGTCTTAAATCCAAGGTTAGGAAAATTCGGTCGGACGGTGGATTTACGAGATTCAAAGAGGCTTATGCGCATATATTGGTGGGAGCATGGGGAGAAGGACGAAGGTTACCTTCCTCGCTGGTTTCGGTTAGGATCAAACGGAAAGAGGAGGGCGCCCGAAAGATGTGTAGGTGGGGGGAGCTTGGATTTTGGCAACGAAGCAACGAACTTCAAATGGCTTTCAGCGAAGGAGAGCGAAGGTTCGTGGCTTAAGAGGCAAGGGCTAGGTTTTGACGCGAGGGAGAGGGGTGGAGGCGTAAAACGAGGGACGAAAACGCCGATCGCGACTATAGCCCCGCGATCAACGTGTAATAGAAAAAATTAAATGAAGTTTTCAAATAATATGTCTGAAAGTACGAAACAAACAAATAAGCGACATTTTCAAAACGCCGCAACACTTATCAGCTGCCCCGAACGGGCACTAAGCGACTCTTACTTCGGGATTGGTATTTTGCTAAGATATATAATTATATATGTAAATATAAATAAATGTTTTTTAATGATACTTTTTTCTATTTTGTTATTAAAAAATGTTAAAATATCTTATGCCAATAACATGGCTTACATTTTTCTTCATTAGGGGAAAAATGTCATGTCAAATAAATAAATAACTTGAGGTAGACTTAGAGTCTTAGTAGTTTGGGGTTACTCCTCTCTTCTTTTGATTACCCACTTTGAGTCATGTCGCTCCTATTATTGTTTTTGACATCATCTTGACGGTCTGATTATTGATGAGTTATCGTCTGCTCGAGATACAACGATTTGTCTTCTGCCCTTATGGTCCGGATGTGCTTTGACATATTGGGATTAGGGGTGTAAACGAGTCGAAGCTCGTGTTCGGCTCGTTTATATTTCGAGCTCAAAAAGTGTGTTCGTGT